ATATTATAATATAAAAAGGGAATGAATTTCTAGATCCTCGATAATGCGAACTATAGTATTTAGTAATTATGAATAAGAGGAAGAAAGGAATACTAGTATGAGATTGCAATTATTAACAAAAGCCAATTAAGCGTACGGAAAATATATTAATACTACCATTCTCTTGAATAATTCGCAAATTCCAAGTATAGTTGAATGATATATCCCTCATAATTATAAAAATGATCTTTTATTACTATAATTCCAAAATTCTTTTGTTAAATTATATTCTCGCGCATGAAAGCGAGTAATCTCATAGCGTAACGCTCAATTGACATGCGCAGAAGACATTCTATTGTCTCGCGACAGCGGCCGCGCGCCGAGCCGAAATGCAGGTAGGCGACCAAGCGGGCCGCGCAGTTGAAAAAGACCACTCGTCAAGTACAGACTTTTCTCAAGCAGTTGAAAGTGTTACACGTGCAGTCCAGACGTCGTCTCGAGAATCCTAAGTCGTACCAAGTCGTTGCCAGTTCATTTCTAAATCATTCTCGAACAACGCTCTGCTCCGCCGAAGCCTGCCACACATTGCAATACCATTCTACTTCTTCCGAACACGCCGAATCTTCGTATTATTAAGGTAATCCTAATCACTCTACTTATATTCGTTGTCAAATTCTAGAACGCAAGAAGAATAATTAATTAAACGCTTTGAATCTTATAACATTGTAATTCTCATTGATAATTTTACATTGCTTACTCGATTATTATATAAATATACAAATAAATATATATATATTCCCATATTTCACATAACTTGTATTATTTTATATTCTAATCAAATAATAACCATAATTGATTTTAATTACAAGTACCCTTTCATTACAATCGTATCAATACTATTGTTCGTCACTACCAAATGTTATTTCTATATAATAATTACTTATGTACTCAATTCGTTGCGTTCATTTAACATATATATATAATTATATCTTGTTCTCATACATACATACATAGATATATATACACACATATATCCAGTAATATTCTTTATTATTCCCTTACTTCTTTATTATTATTATTAATTATTGACATCTTATTCCGTTACTTGATTCTTATGCTATATCGTATATTATATGTTTTGAAATACTATTCCTGACCAATATTGCAGTTTCTTTTCATTGTAATATTATATCGTCTTGATTTAACACGTTCATAATATTCATGATTGCATCAAATAATACAATTCAATCTTTATTCAAACATTATCATATTATGTTTCGTACTATATTTTAAAATACTACAAGGAAGTACGAAATCTCACATATTTGATACTTATATGTTCTTTGCATGCATGTAATTTCAGAGTGTGATACTACGACTATATTATTCTTGATATATATACATACATAATTATCTATCTCGTTGTCTTGAATGTTAGATGGAACATAAAGCAACGATTACATTTTCATTACCATTTATTGCTACTATTAAACAACCATTTCTTACAGCTATTTAAATATTTACATCTAATTCAAATACTCGAATTCATTTAACCGCCGCGTTGTCATACTACTTTAATAATTTACCTCGCTACCGTCTACACCACAAGTCGGAGCGACTCCCCGCTGAGGTAACGCCGTGATTTTCCGCTCGGCCACAGGCGTTGCTGTCATCTGTAACATAAGGAAATAATTAACATTTCCATACCATTTCTTTTCGCATGCTATACTGCACGTGCTATTAACTATGGCTATCTCTAAAGAAATACGTGCTAAACAAGCTTATTCTTTTCAATCAACAGATACCGCAAGTACTTCCCGCTTACGTTATGTCAACCCCGCTGAATAACCCCCTTGATCGCTGGCCCCGTTGGCCTCCAATAATTAAGAGTGCCCTTCAATTGACTCATCCCTGGTCACAATCGGCCAGTTGCTGCATATCTTTCTACGCTAAGAATAGGGAAACGGGCACTATTCTCTGCGACTGGTGCACTGAAGCCCTTCCACCTCGGAGACGAAGGCTGTACGTGGATGCTGCTCGCCATTATCTCACCGTAGGGC